ATATATATATATATATATATATATATATATATATATATAGAATTATTTATCAATCGCGTGCTAAATACCTTCCTAATATACATTGCGCATACAGTAATCACGTATGCGCGTACGTATAAACCTCATGAAATCTTCCGTGTAACGTTATTTAATTAACTGCGAGTGGAAGTCGTCATTCATGACATAAGTATGTCACAGATTATAACTATTCACGTATTATATATATTTTTCATCACTTTTCGCTGCAGTTCATCAAAGATGCCAACTATGCCGCTCAAGAGGATCGCCATCTTTTTTCGTTGATACCAGTTATAATGCATCCTAAAAGTGTCGGTGATATTCGCCTGAGAACCAGCGACCCGCTAGATTATCCACTCATAGATCCACGCTACTACGAGAATGAAGATGTTAAAACTATGGTTGCAGGTAACGCATGGAGGCTCACTGATTTGTTTCACGAAATCAATATTAAGGGTGATCTGGCTTTGGAGAATTTCGTATAAACATTGATTTGACACAATATATACAAACACAGAACGCAAAGACGCGCGAAAAGACCCAAATTTACGCACGTAGGCTTACGCACTCACGCATGCGCACACGCACATACACATACACACCCGTACACATCCTTAGACACGGTAATACATATACGGGACCTTGTTTACATTTTATATATTTTAACAGGGATCAAGCTGGCTAAAAAGATATCAAAGGCAAAGGCATTCCAGTCTATCGGGGCAAAGATTAATCCGCATAACTTGAATGTGCCAGGATGCACTCAGCACGGCAAAGGTAAAATAACATATCACAGCGCTTTGCAATCTATTGCAAATCGTGATAGCATAAGCAAGTAGCAAGTAGTAAGTAATACTACTAATAGCTGTTAATATGCTGAACACGAATGGCTACATTAACTGGTTATATATATATTGAACATATAATTACTGACGCCATACGCAACACACGATAAGTATAAAAAAAATTCACGCTATCATGCGCAGTTACTGATTTTATTTACCTGTTCAGTGCTCACACTTCTTTGTCATGCTAACATCGCGCATGAAAAGATAAAGAAGCGTTGTACACGTGACCAAAAATGACGTTTTATGCGTACATTCGGTAAATTAGATTATCGTGAACGTTTTACAAGCGCCTCAATAAGGTGAACATCTTATATACCGTGCTCATCATACGCAGGGGACAAATACCTGGAGTGTGTTGCACGCCGTATATCCACGACTCTTTACCATGCAACGGGAACCTGTAAGATGGGCGCCAGCACCGATCCGTCTGCCGTCGTTGATCCCCAGCTGAGGTTAGTGGGGAAACATCTATGGAAAATCTACGCAGTTGTTATGCCTGCTTCCAAGGGCGTACCAAGTCATTTTCAGTTTAACCTATGGCTACCATACGACTTGTGCCAGTGTATGACGTGCCACCCGTTCGTGTGTTTTAGGGTGCGTGGAGTAGAAGGACTGAGGGTCGTGGATGCCTCCATCATGCCGGAAATCACGTCGGGAGGCCCGCATGCGTCCGTCATCATGATCGCTGAGAAGGCGGCCGACATGATACGTGGCGCACAGAACTGATGTGAAACATTTTCCTTTGAAAACGAGTAGTACACTGTTAAAAAATGTCCGTTAATTTCACGAAAAATTTCCGGCATTTCCATTTCGGAAATACCGTGAAATTCACGGAAATCCTTAATTCCCATTTCCGTGTGTTCTGGCTACTTCTAGAATAGTAGCTATTGCCATTATTTATGTTTGAACTGTATCATCAATGAATATGCCCATCAGTCACTATTAATAATAAACAACGTGATGTGCGTCGCAGATGGCACCAAACTGCATGCAGCGCCCCTTCGTACAACTCAGGATACCAGAGCCAGAGCCAGAGCCAGAGCCAGAGCGAGAGCGCCATCTGCCGTGGAGTTTGAGATGGCACGTGGCATCGCTCCCCGAAAGCACCGCGACACAGTTTCTGATCTCTACTAAACTAACGTGGGCACAGTCCCAGAATCCACAGCAAGGTGCTAATTCACGTTCAAACTCCACGACAGATGGCGCTCTCGCTCATGGGCTCAATCTATCTATCCTGAGTGTACGAAGGTGCACTGCATGCAGTTTGATTCATGTTTCAGTGAAACACGCTGCTACGGAAAATATCCGTTAAAATCACGGATATTACCCGTTGAATCCACGGAAACTTAAATCAATGTATTTAAATGCGATATAAAAGCTTGTAGACTAACTATGTACAGACGGGCAATTGTGACAGCGGTCATCCTTTTAGTGACTTCACTGCATGCGCATGTGAATTGTAAAGGTAATATTTTTGGATAGATTGTAAGTTGTAACGGATAGTAGACCGCGTAGAATACTTGTGTACTTTGTAGAATTTGCACAACACGCAATTTTGCGATGTTATCATACATCATATCGACACTATCATATCATAAAATACTTTGGTAATAATAAAACGTTTAAATAATGAACAGTTGAATTTTGACATTAATATTGTTCGTCTAACACGGTATGTTATGCGGTATGTGACGGTGTTATACGGTATGTTAATTATGCTCTGATTTCATACCGATACTCATACTCCACGAACATACTTCCCATTAGTTTTGACAATTTTAACAGTAAAACAGACGTGACACGACAAGTGATCGAATCTAGCGTTTGACGTCAATAGTACTGTAGCGTGTTTGATATCGTGGTTCCACGCAATCGAAACGTGGTGTATAGCAGTTGTGTTCGGTAAGATAGCACCTACCTGGTACGTCCGGATGCGTGAGGATTGGCCGTATCGTCGACACCCGGACTCCGCTAACACGTACCGAGCGCCTGAGTGCTACCCGCTCGATCGTATTACCAGTGTACCATCCAGCGAACGTTCCAACTCCGGTGCAGCAACGGGCAGACGACGGACAACACAGCACAAATACGACACGGGGCGCTCCGCCCTGCTCCTCAGGACTTACGTTACGTTTTATAACAAATGTGACCCCGTTGTATCAACGAAGGTTATATATACAGATAAAATAAACGTAGCTAGACAAAGGGCTAAACAACCGACAGTCTCTCTACTGTGCGGCTGCTCACGTATAGACCAAGGAGCTATATTATACATATGTATAATATAGCTCCTTGGT